ACATTTGCCACCAAACATCTGGATGATCCCCGAGACTTCTGGGATTTTTATTCTGTAGACTGACGAGACAAAAGCTGAAATTTCTGAAAGGTTTGAGTCCCGTTACATCTACATCAAACTAACAGCGTTTCATACAGAGAACATCACAGCAGGAGTCAGACACTGTGGTGGTAGTGTGATGGCTTCTCTGATGCTTCAGGATGACTTGATGTGACTGATGGAACCATGAATTCTGCTCCATACCAGAAAATACTGAAGGAGAATTTCCTCAAGCAGTCAGGTTATGCAGCAGGATAATGATCAATAAACAAAGATTTTGGGGTGGCCAAGTCAAAGTCTGGACTTACACCACAAAGAGAGTGGTCCAAAATTCCTCCACAGTGATGTGAAATACCCGTTACCAGTTACTTTTTTATACAGGGCAGGTAGGCTTGGATGACTTTATATTTACTCAGGTTATCTATATGAATTTATTTGATGATATGAAGCATGTAAATGTGACAAATATGCAGGAGGGTTGTCTTGGGCTGGCAGTCCTCACACGATGACCTGCCTTGGTTATGTATTGCACTGTTGTCCCTCGTTATCCCTTTTACTGGGGGGGGGGGGGGGGGGGGGGGGGGGGGTGTGCATGTGTGTGTGTGTACGTGTGTGTGTGTGGCGATGTCCTGGTTTTCCTGGGAAACAGGTCTAGAGAGTGTGTCCCACCGGGACATGCAGCGGATCAGCCTCGTCTGTGGGAGTTACTTGGGAGAGTGGCTGACCTTGCGTCGATGCCGGATCGTTGCAAGAATTCCCGTTAGTTTCTAAGCAAGACAGTTAGTAAGTGTGAGTTTGCTGCCGTTGTGAATGTACTAATGGCTGCGTCTGTGATTTCCCAACGAGAGGGAAACACGGAGCACGGACACTGGGAGAAGACACGGCATAGAAGTCGGGGACACACGGGGATCTATCATTGCGTTAATATTTACCTCACTGTAAATAAATGCACTGTGTTCATTACAGAGAGTCCTGCATTTGGGTCCTACTTTCCCTGCAACCCCACACAGTTGATGTTTAGACGCATCCACACACACAGGTGGTGTTGGTTGGTGCGGGTATTCATAGTTACTGTCTGAGCAGATAGCATACTTTTTTCTTTGTTTTTTTCAAAGAGCTTTGGATATTTGGTAGAGATAAACAAAAAGTCTCAAGATGACACTAGAAATCATGACCTGAGAACCTCGAAACAGCCACTGCTTTCCTTTTCTGTAGTCTCCTGTCAGAAACGGGATAGTTTTAAAGAGACAGACAGACGTCCTATAAACAGAAGAATGATTAGAGAAAGTGAAGTCTTGCAGAGACAAACAGAGCAAAGTCAAAAAGGTGAAACAGAGAAGGAAGGATTTCAGATTTCAGGACCGGAACAGCTCTTTCTCATTACTTTTGTCATGGACACAGTTTGATAGATTGCTATGATTGGATGTGGTGGGGGAGCTGCTGTTATCACACAGTGCTTAAATAATGCTTAAATAATCAGATTAAATAGTTGTTAAGGCCTGGTCCATTTTAATAACATTCAATCAGTCTCAAATTCTGGTTTCAGTTTGTGGAAACTCTGACAGAGTGTAGCTGATCCTTTTTATAAAGTTAGAAATATACAAGCTCATCCAACAGATTACATGTTTCTGAACAGAAACCCAGGGTGGGCAGCTAGCTGGGAAACACTCCTTCAAATGCTCCTTTCAGGTCAAGTTTGAGGTCCTCTGCAGTTTGCAGGCACAGAACAGGCTGACAGCTTTCCTCACAGTCAGCAATTCAACAAAGCAGGCGTGATACATGAACCCAGATTAACTGCTCGATTCCTTTCAGTGGTTCTTTATATCTGAGAAAAAACACATATTGTGGAGAGATCTTGGCACTGGAACATAAACTGATTGGACAATTAATATTTGGTTTAATGAGCCGAGACGTGGAATTAGAGCTGCAACAAGCGGTTTGACTATCTGAGTCCCTTTTCAGGCAAGAACGCCAATCATCAACCTTTAGTTCTCAGATCTGACAATCTGCAGCTAGATTTCAGGGGAAAAAACAAGCTTTCCAAAGCTCAGAGAAAAAGTGGAACTTAATTTTTAACATGGATATGAGTCACTTTTTTTAAACTTTAAGAAACAGACAGAAGCCTTGCTGTATGTAGCCTTCTGCGAGCGTTCTTCTAATTCTTTGTAGATTGAAATTCTTTAAAACGTTTTGAGCTACACTAAAAACTAAAATGTTCCTCTTTCTTCCATGCCCAGATGTTTTGGCATGACTGTCATCACACCAGCCTCCTTAAAAGACAAAACGGTCATTTTTACCCCTGGCGGCAATGACAGCGTACAGAGTGACAGGATGAACATGATAGCGGCTCAGAGAAGCTGCTCATTCCACTAAACCGACAAAAGACTCAAGCAGATGCAACTGAAGTGTGTATCCATCTGCACTCTTGCCCTTTAATGGTGATGTAAAACACACACACATACACAGACTACTATATTTTCACTAGTTAGGGGTTTCGAGCCATGCCTGGTTTATCACTGGCCTGATTGAATCCATAAAAGTTCTGATGAAGGTTATTCTGTGAAACTGAGCCATGGTCAAACTATAAGGTTCAACAGATGTGAACCTTATAGCCCGTTGACAGCTGCCTGCACGCTGTAATTTCAGCTTCTTACATTTGATTGTCTAATTTAAAAGCTACGAGCCTGAGGTGACGACCAGCAGCCAGGCTGCCCTGTAACCTGTCCTCTCTCCACTTTAAATAAGCCTTTAAAAAACATTTATTTCTACTAAAATATGGCAATGATGCTGCAGATTGGTGTGTGAGTGTGTGCCTGTGCAGAAGCATTTATTCTGTGACTGACATTCGAACAGGACTTTCCAACACAGGAAGGTGAAGCATGCACAACATCAAAGAAAACACACTCAGTTTAAAAGAGAAGAAAACTGACACCAAAACACGGTCAACAGGACGTCACAGCATCTCTTTGAAAATATGGCACAGATACTCCATCAGCTGTTGACGCTAAGGCAGAAGCACAAAGCTCTGTTAGGTTTTGCATTCACCAGGAAAGGCTTATTATCAAAATCTGATTCTGCGGTGACTTCAGTTACAGGTGAGCAAGATATTGTCGGGTGATGATGGTAATCTTGTTCCGTGGATGGGTGAGGAGCTGCTCCTGATTGTTAACAGTCGGTAACAGGATTCATTGAGGAGATCAAAAATGAGCATGAGTGTCACAGCTCTGTCCTCAAGAGCATAAGCCTGTGTAATTCTGTATTTCACAGGTCCATAAAAATTTGTGATGCAATTAGTTAGTAATTATGGAAGGAAAAGGGAGTTCAAACTAGTCGCTCTTACTTCATAACCCGAGGAGTCTTCATGAAGTGCACAGCAGGGCAATGCTTTGCATTTATCTACAAGCAGGCTAACAATGAATTCACCAAATAATATTTGTTTGGAAGCAAAGCACTTCCTATAATTTAGCTCTTATTAATGTTCCAGAACACCCTGAATCCACGTTTAAAGCCCTCTTGTTTCTACGTTGCTTTAACAGCTTCTTAAATTGGAATAATTCTGCTTTTCCCTTTTTTCACTTACATCTCCGGTTCCATTGTCAAATACTCTCGTGAGCCAAAGCTCCAAATATTGATGTCAGTGAAATTTGTAATACCTCTGGAGGTCACCTGTGATCATAATCCACTTTAAATCTAAGATTGCACTGCAAAGTATGCATCACATTTGAGCCAATAATAAAGTCCAGTATTGGGCTGAAGTGTGTCAGGTCGGTAGTTCAGTAAAAATCAGTTTTTTCTTCTGTTTCTCTCAGAGCTGTGGAGGCCGATATAAATGAAAGCCTGGAATCGTGCCACTACACTCGGCAAGTAAAACCACTCACAGAAAAAGACATTTCAAACCTATCAGGAGAGCAAAAGTCTCTTAAAGCTCGAAGGATAATGAGACGGATGACATGAAAAGCAGGAGGAACAGTTTGCTGCCTTTCAAAAGACTCTGCAGTTTATTGGCAGCCAAACAACAGCAACATTAAAGTCTGCAGTTCAAAAACAGAAACATCAGGGAATCTGAGTAAAACAGAGACTCTGCTGATGTGAGCAGACGGGTTCAGGTTCCCCTTTTAACACCAAAACTATGGCAACAGCAGCATTCATTTTAAAATGAAAAGCAAGAGCTGCTGTTTGTTGGCTGTGAGGGGAATTTCTCCTGTACAAATATACATTAAAGTAAATCAGCGATCTCACATCGCAAGATCATTTTCTTCTCATGAGTAAATCAAGAGCTGCAGCTTAAGCTATGTGCCTGTCAGTCATTTTCAATCAGACCCAAGATGCTTCCTCAGTTTGGCCAGCGACTCAATTTGAAGCAAGAGAGAGTGACCCACAGCTTTCCAGTAGAGGATTATGGATCACACTCTGTGCTCGAGCTTCTCAGGTTGGCGATGCTACCGCCTGCAGAAATAGGCCACACTGGGTACTTTCCTAACACCCAGCAGCACTTTGAGATTTGCTCCATAAAAACACAAGCAGGAACTTGGTGAGGACAAATGCCCGCTGGCCTCCAACTCAAACCGCCTGTGTTATTGTTCAAGGACCAGAGGGCTAACGAGAGCAGCCCTGCCAGACCCTGTTCTCATCAGAGGTCCTTGTGAGTTCAACACACACAGCAAGTTAAAGAGTTTAAGGCTGCTTCCAGTAATGTGACATCCAGAAAAACTAAAGCTGGCACCAGAGAAGCACTTTTCACAAAAAATGTTTTAAGACTGTTAGCTGTTAAAACCTGGTGGATACAGCAAGCAACAGAGCCACAAAACAAAGAGCTACCAAACAGATTCAGGTTCAAGTGCGTTCATCTCCAAAGTGGTTTTAGGAAGAGTTCGGATAAAGACAGGCCACACCCCATCACTGAGTAGCCTCCGAGCATTCTCCGAGACCTTGGATAACATGTGAACATTTTTCCTCTGAGAGTTCTGAAACCTTTATCTGAGTGCAGCAGACAAACGAGCCCACTCAGTGAAATCAACACACAAAAATGGCTTTTTAGATGAGTCCATTGACGGTGAGCCTCCCGGCAGCAAAGCACAGAGAAAACGAGCAATAGCTGCAGATATGCTAACGTTGCAGCCATGCTGTCGGCTTTAAAGTCTGTGAGGCTTTTCTCACAAATTTGATTCCATCCATCTTTATTTTTTATGCAGTTACTGTTAATAAATCTGGAGAATCATCCTGGAAAAAGGTGTTCTTAGTTTTTATACTGTCCGTCTTGTATTTCTAAGAGGCACTTTCTGTTTGGTTGCCAAGGTAAGGATGTAGACGATAACTCTGATGGGAAAGGAGCGACCGTTGCAGCCATTCAACTTGTACAAGACTCGTGTCCGCTGTCCTTCCCTCCACCATCCATCGCTGCTCCGCAACAGAAAACCTCTCCTACGATAGTCCAACATTTCAAACTCGGGAGGAGGTGAAGCTGAAAATGTCAGACTCTTAGCGTCCTGCTTCACAGAGCCACTTCCTGTCTGTTGGGGTTTCCATTGGCTGCCGGAGCGAGGGCAGCAGTGGGCGTGTTCTTCTTGATGGAGGTGAGGCGGATGTGGGAGGTGCTATGCAGATAGCTGGCTTGGCGCTCAGGGCGAGGACCTCGACCACATCGCAGCTGACTAAGGAGGAAGAAGAAAGCAAAACTCAGTGCAGATGTTAGTGGCGGGATTCCTGTTTACCAGATATTTTTATCGTTAGGAGTTTGCATGAATGTGGGTTGAGGCGTAAACCTCTGAGTGGTCAGTAAGCCTCTGTATCCCGATATAAACACCAGCCCTTTTACCATTTCACAGATGAGGAGAGGTTTGTGGGGAACATGCAGTGTGTCTGCTGAAGCTGAAAGCATGTGAGATTAGCGTGTTAAAGTTTTACAGGATCGTAGTTTCGTAGCTGAAAGGGCAAAAAGAAATCAGGTCTGGTTTCCATTTATTAGACTCATGTCACTGAGTTCTGTTTTCATAAGCTGGCATTTCAAACTTATCACTTCTTTGTTCCACTACAAAGAGTTTTGTGCTTTTGCTTTATTATCTCTGAAAGGTCTTAATAGCTCTGTGATAGAGAAGATGATTGTAGCACTGGGACTACAGAGTTTTACTCAGTAATTGTCTTGGCAAAAGAACTCACAGCAATGGTTGCACATCTATCTTTTTCCATGTTTCAACAAATTTTTAACATTTAAACATGCTGTGGAGGAGAGGATTGCTAGCTCTCTTCTGCCTTTCCCTGACTCATTGCTGGTCGTCGTTGTGTCAATGCCATCAGCCTAAATATCTGGAACCGTGCGCACACGATCCTGCCTGCTCGATACCACTACTGGTGGTCAAAAATACAACAGTGTAATTTAATCTGTCTGCAGCATGTGAGAACATTCACTGTGTTTAAGTTCTTCTTTCAGACTTTAGCACAAATGTAGATCTGCATCTAGAGTCAGACGTACAAAAGAACAACAACAACAACAAAAAACTCAGCATGGGAGTAAAGACTGGACTATGTATGCACAGAGGGTTGATGGGGGAGCAAAAGAAAACAATTCAAAGACAGAGATGAAACAACCCAAAAGATAACCACCAACATAAAAGAAATGCAGTGAAGGCATTAAACTCAATAAACTCCAGGCAGAAACCAGAAAACACAGAAACTCTTCACTCGAGTAGAAATAAAGCAAAACACAAAAACTAGAAGCTCTAGGATAATAATGAGGAGTAATCAAAACAGGAATGCACTCTGACATTTCTGTTTTGATTACTCCTGTAACAGAAGAACCTTCACAGAACTCACACAGGAAACTAAGAATTCAAATCTCCTTAAATACATCAAACCCAAGGACCACAGGACTGCTGTCGGCTGTTCCTGCTTTAAATCGTAGCTCTGCAGTTTGGTTGTCTGCAGTTTTACTTCCTCTACTTCTCTTTTGTAGAGATTCTCATTCAACAGTAGCTGATGAAGAATTTAGTTCTATGCTGATTTTTTTAGCCAATAATTAATCATTGATTACAGCCTATATGGAAAATCTACATCACGTCAGCCACAGATGAATGCCTCTTTCCAAAGAACTATTAAAAACTAAAAAGAACTGGCATGCATGCATGTGCTGGAGATATTTTTCTTCCAAAAGTCATAATCCTCAGAAACAGGCACACATGTTAATTGGCTCTCTGGGTACAAAAGGCGAAGAAACATTTCTGTACTTGAAGTAAATCATCACACATGGACAAATTAAATTGTTCACCTGTTACATTCTTCAAAACAGGCAAATAGCTATAATTGCATCCCAAAGGCACATTTTAGTTTTCCTGCGGCATCTCTGCTGCTTCTGAGGTGTCACGACCTGCTGCAAATCTGAGCTGAATGAGAGAAAAGCCCGTCCCCGGGTCACGGTTTCCCGCTTTTTGGGAAGGCTGTGCCATGGTTACGGTGAAGAGTTTAAATTTGGGTTTCCATCGTGCGGAGGCAGAAACATGATGAGTTTCAAGAGGTTTATTGGGTACTCAGGAGGAGTTTTAGAAAATGGCGAAGCTGTGATTATTTTTCAGCAAGTTATAAGAATCCATTCAGACTGAAGAATGAAATACTCGCTGTGTGGTTTTTATCTGAATGCTCAGTCTTGTATAAATGTTCGCCCTCTAGAAAGTTTTGATTAGTCTGTGACTGCAGCTTCATGCGGTGTAAACACTCGGAGCACAAAACAACACAAACACGCTGCCAATGGCGTGCAGCGCAGACGAAGCGCGGCCTCGGCATGCAAAGACATTTCCATCCGTATCCTTCCACCGTCTGTAAATCAGCTACATTCACATTTTATTGATGCAATCAGTAAAGTAGTAAAGACTCACTGGAGCATTCAGCCTCTGCTTGTTTTCCACCTTTTTATGGTGACAGCAGTTAATGTGAGCAGTAATAGAGTTAGCTGCAGCAGCATCCAGTAAATCAGCATGCCATGAACATTTCTACCTATAGTGAAGACAAACAGCAGCATTCACACGTTCAATCTAATTTCTTCTTCAGTAGTCGACGTAAAATAAACATGACCACGTAATTAAGCGTGTGTTATATCACAGAACAGCCGAGACGAGCTCTGAAGCTCCTGCATTCGCTGGCTGACATCAAGCATCTGCCTCTGCTTGATGATTTTGATTTTTGAAGCTGATATTTGTAACTTTAACTCTGAAGAACACACAATCCTGGCACCAGTGAATTTTAAATAAATGTAGAGCACTGACAGGCTGTTTGGGAAAATTACTGACATATTTCTGAATGACTGACGGACATCTTCAGTGGGAGCAGCTGAACCTGCAGCTGAGAGCAGAGTGAGATGTTAGTCTTTTATAGACACTGAAAAAATTAATTCAAGGGAAATGTATTCAAATGTAGCTTTTTCCATATGTTTATTTTTATTATTATTATTTATTATTTTTCTTTTCTGGGAGTTTTGTGTGTATCCAAATAAGTGATGCTGAACATTTTACTAATCCAAATGCTGCAGTGCAGTTATGAATAACACTCTGCAGGAGCACACCAGTGTGCACACTTTGGAAATATTAAAGGGGGAACTTGCCCACCTTATTGTTTGTGAGATGTTTGAGAACAGTGTCATCTGTCTCTATTCTCTGGGGCAGTGCAGGGATCTGGTTAGGTAACATAACCATCTCAGGTAAAAGCACCTCAATAACTCTGACCTGTTGAAGTGTCTGCGGAAACTCTCACTGAGCAGGTAGAGCGCGAACGGGTTGACGCAGGACGAGGAGAAGCTGAGGACCCGGGCTAGAAGAGTGATGACGAGGTGGGCCAGCGACAGATCCATCTGGTGGTAGTGGAAGGAGCGGTACATGTAGAGGACATGGTTTGGGAACCAGCACAGGGCAAACAGGCCCACAAAAACCAGCACGATCTTAGCCAGACGCTTCCTCGTCTCCATCTGGAAGAAAAGGATTTAAAGCGATGAGACATCACAAGCTGGAGGGACTGAACACAAAACAGTTTTCAGTAAACAGAGCTGAAAGATTTCCAAACTACATCTTCAAATGGAACTCACTGGATCTCACATGATCAGACCTCTCTGTGATTCATTAGAGGAAACATGAGCTGTGGAGGTGACTTGGAAAAGAAAAGGATCTGTCTGCATGTTGAACTGTCTGATTCTTATAGTTTGGCCAGGGTCACAATGAGATCATGTGGAGGGGATACAAACTTTGACAGGGGGGCAAATGGCTCAACAAAAGCAGGAGGGGACATTCACGCTGTCTCTTATGTGCACAGTTACACTTGCACACATCCACAACGTCCATAAACACAGATTATAAACTAAGATGCCACGAATACAAAAACCTTAAAGGTGCATTTAAAAACACAGACATGGTCCTTTATAAAGGACTTTCCCTTCATGACTTCTTAGTCTTTTCTATATTTGTCTCACTTTCTTGTTTCAGATCATTACAGACATGTTGGTATGAAACAAAGATGGGGTGTGTGTCTTTGTCACAGACTCTGAGTGCAGAGTGTCCTCCACACATTTCCAGATGTTTTGCAATTTTCAAGTGAGGTCTTTAAAGATTTAAAGCCAGCAGTGGTTTAATGACCTGTTTTTGGTTCCATTACAAATGAAGGGAACTTCCCAAAGTCTGCCTTTGATGGCCCAACAGCTCCATCAGCCTCAGTGCCCTCCTCAGTAACTGCTGCAGAAACACTCAGCTACTATGATATGTTGTTACTCCAGTAACTTTTCAATGTTTAACTGTTTCCATTACAGCCTTTACTTATAGCTGTAAAAGTGTGTCAGTAGAATTCAGCTGAGGGGGCACAGTGACCTTTTTGGACACTCCTGGCCCCCAGGGACGTCCCTAACGCAGAAGCTCATTTTGGCTAAAGGTCTTTCTTTGTTAAAGTGACTTCTGCCTGCTCCCGCCTGTATGCAGGGCCACAGCCACACATACTCGATGCTTTGTTGGTCGTCCCTTTTAAGAACATTCAATGGTTTGGGGGGCATATGTCTGAGCACTGCTGCAAACGTATTAGAAAGGGCGTGTTGGAGTCCATCCCGGGCATGCATTTTATTTATTCTTCCTGAAATTTGTAACTTTTATACATTTTACATGGAAATTGCTTTGCAAAGAAAAACTCAGAATCAGGAACCAGGTGACAGTTAAACAAGAATGGCAGTTTCCCAAGTAAGTCACCTGCATTATTCAAGTTTTTGTTTAAACCTTTTGCTTTTATAACCTCACGCTTGGATCACTGCAACTCCCCTTTAATAGGGGTTGGCCAGGGGACTTGGTCACACCTACAACCGGTGCAAAATGCTGCGGCACGGTTTTTAACTGGTAAAAGAACATTTGAGCATATTACTTTGGATCTCCTTACACTTGCTTCCAATTTAATTTAGGATCGCTTTTAAAATCCTTTTACTGTTTTTTAAATCCTTAAATGGCGCCTGTATATTTGTCCGATGTGGTACAGTCCTATGTCCCCCCTCGTTCACTCCAGGCAGCCGAGCAGCTGTTGCTCTCACTCCCTAAATCACAGCTGAAACTTCTCTATTGTGGTCCCGAAGCTTTGGAATGAGCTTCCTCTTCAAGTTAGGCAATCTACGTCAGCGGTGGTTTTTAAATCCAGGTTGAAAACAAATTTTTTATTCACTGGCTTTTGACTCACTGGGTAACTGACATTGTTATTTTATTGTTATTTATTTAGTTATTTATTGTAGTTCGTGTTCTCTTTATATTTCTGCTGTACAGCACTTTGGTTGACCATGTGTTGTTTTTAGTGTGATAGTGCTATATAAATAAATTATAGTATGGTAAACTTTTGAAGGTTTAAACCTGTCTTAACTTCTAATTTCTTTCCAGGTTCTCACAAAGTTATCTGGACATATATTTTTATTTACTTTCTTTTATTGTATTAATGTTTTGTTTTAGGTTTGCTGTGACAAATGTCTTCAGTCACTGAATCGTTTGTCCAACCCTCTATCTGTTCACACACACACACACACACACACACACACACACACACACACACACACACACACACACACACACACAGTATAACTTGTACGCTTATTTATATGATGTAATTCTCCAATAATACAACCTATGTTCAGAGTTCTTGTGTATCCCTGCCTGCACACATTTGTTTGGCTTGATTTTTAATCTTTGGAGGATAAAGTCATTACTGCATGGATTGTCTCACTAATGAGTGTTTTTGCAAAACTCAGCGTTGGTTAATTAGAATTTAAGAAAACCCACCATCTCCTCCCTTAACACCATAAAAAATGTTTGTCACACAAGTTGAGTACGAATATTTTGTGACAGCTGGGATGTTCATGAAAAGCTTTCCATTATTATGGTTTTGCTTTTTTTCTGTGTCTGATGGCTCTGCCCAAAACATATTATTTGTTGGAAGTGAGCAGCATATAAATATGGAGACTGATCTGTATTTAAAGATGAAGAATAAACCTTTCTGGAGACCAAAGCAGAATAAAAGCTCTCAGGGAGGATGCTGAAGTGGATGGATGGGTCAGCGTCCGCCAATCAGACATGCTGGTTTATTTTAATAATGACTGCAATCTTCCCACAACCTCAGTCAGTTTTGTTTGTGATTGCAGATCAGAAAACAACATGCAGTTCTCACTTTAAGGCAACGTCACACCAAACAAATATTCATGTAGGCCATTTCTTCTTACAGTCTGATGCTGATTAGTTAGAAGCAGATTCGGTGAGCCAACGTTTCTATGGTCTTCATCAGTCGCACCAAAAGGCAGTAGGACTTAATAGTAATTTTTTGACTAATGAGTTGTCAGAAGTGGTGAGTCTCTCCACAGCATGTCCCATTTTTCTGTATTAAACACTTGTAACTGTATTGAATGAATCCAGAAGGTAAACTGAGTTGAAACAGTTGCTTTCATTAATGGGTTTACATTTGAAAAAGGTGTACATACATTTGAAAAATGAATACATAAGAACAAAGCAAGTAAAAAAAAAACCACAAGAGTTGACCCAAATGTCAGTTTGAACAGAGGAGGATGCCACAGTGTTGAGGGAAAGGTTTTGTAGCTAAGGTTCGCGCTTAGTTTTCAGACAGGTACATGGAATCACGAGAAGACCCAGGGATCCAGCGTGGAGAATAGGAGTGGAGTTATCAATGATATAAGTGCGGGCTTTGTCTCGTAAGTTCATAAAAGAAAGAACTAAGATTTTAAAATGATACCTAGACCTGACTGGAATCCTCTTCAGACACTTGTATGTAGCAGAGTATGTTGAAAGCATTTTGTACAGATGGGAGGCAATTAATAGATGCATTATACAGACAACAAAATAGACCATTACAGTAGTCGAAGCTGGAGGAGATGAAGCCAAGAACAAGAATGTCCAGTTCACTTTTTGAGACAACAGTATTAAGTTTAGGAATATGTCTTAAATAGAAAAAGTAAGCGCGAGTCAGAAACTTGTTATGAGCATCAACAGTTAAAGAGTTACGTGTGCTAGCTTGAACAGTGGATGAGAAAGAGCTCCAGAATGATAATTAAAGACTCAGTCTTATTTGTGTTAAACTGCATAAAAATATTTACCGTCCAATCATTCACTGCATTAAGTCAGTTAAAAGCAGAGGCACAGTTGATTGTCGTCAGCATACGGATGACTAGAAATGGTTTATAACTAGTAATAATGAGACCTAATGGCAGGATATACAATGAAAACCAGATGATAATTCAGCCACATCTGACCAGAAACTGCCAACTGAGTCATCGCAGTGAAAAATAAAACTCTTTCCACAAACGCATCTGAGCAGCATAAATTAAATGGGCTTACTTGTCTTTGTCCTCACAAATAGTTGAACCTACTAAACCACCTGCTAATGCTAAAAATGGTAAGATGCTAACACTGGATTGACAATGACAAGATGAATTCATGCTGCTTTTTGTTTGTCAGGCAGGACACGGAAATGCTTAGAAGCAAACATAAGAGATCCTCGCAGTAAAAACAGTAAACAGTTTTGCCCCTCGATTGTTTACTCTGGTGTAAAAATGTACTCAAGCTCGATGGAACTGACAGTTTGACTCCCATTGGGACTTGCATACGAAAAGCAACGATGAAACAGATGGAAAACAGAATGAGTGATGGGCGGAGACTCCAAAGAATGGATTTAGGATTATAATACCAGCAGATGTATGGAGCGTATGCCATCATGAGAGGAACCTGACCTTGTCAGTCTGATGCTCAGCAATTGTTAGAGACACATGGAAAAAGGTCAATCATGTCAGTCAAATGCATTTTACACAGGTCACAGCCCAGCTCGACACAAACACGCAAAAAATGTCAGCGGCGTTTCTTCAAAGAGCTTCTCTGTGTAGGGCAGAGGTCACACCCATCAGACTTGCTGGCTTTCTGATGCTCCTTTAAACAGGAGAGCAGCACACCGACCTTCACCATTCCCTTTTTAAAATCCTCATGAGCACAAATTAAACTCTGAGTGCATTCAACCTTCTCACTGCAAACACAGAAAGAAGTAGAAAATCAGCTCTGCAGTACGATGTTTGACACAAAAGGCCACACGGAGTACTCGGTGGAGGATTTTATTCCCCCTCAGGTGCACAGAGGTTTTTTCCTTCTCTGTGCTTGCATCTCTTTGATATTTCAGTGACTCGCCGTGAACGTCACAGCACTGCAGCAAGACACAGTTTGTCAGTAACAATCAGCCGGTGCAGAGTAACAAGGACCGGGGGCCATCTGTGTGTCAACTTCATCATATCCTCTGCTGATTGGCTGTCACAGGAGTCACCTAAATCCTCTCAAGACTTGTTTAACTTTTTGAAGTTTCATTTCACTCCTTTGACCAGAATGTGTTAGTTTTAAATTCTGTGTCATTTGATTTGTTAGTTTTAGTCAAAGTTGACACACAGACGCGTGTCAAAGAATTGCTCAGCATCCCACACACAGGACTTTGAGTTTCACAGCAGACAACAGGCTCATGTGAAGCTGTAGCGCACAAGTATCAATGTAATGGGGTAGAGATTTTTATTTGGGAAAATTTCATGTTTTTAAAGGATAGAGATAATAGATTTTTAAATAGATTTTAATTGTAGTAAAACCCCTTCTGCGAGCATCTGCCAGCTTGATTAGCAGCATGAAACCAGCAGCAGCTGAGAATTCGCAGCAGGACCTCCCGACAGCATCACCTGCAACCTGCAGTCGCCACAACCAGCTGCTTCTCCTACTCACTGAAAGTTTCTGCTGCTCTGTAACTTCACTCCTAACACCTGTTTCACTATTTATCTGGAGGCAGGTTTGTCTTGTTTTTAATTTAAGCAGCCAGTTAGCATGTGGTAACAGACTACTAGGTATGTCTGGACAGGGTCAACATCCGTGTCAAATATGCTACTACAACTAATAATAACGGTCATAAGTCCTGTATTTTATTTCAGACATTATCCACACAACACTGTTAGCACTTATTTACACTTCTTTGGCCCTGAAATTCTCTGCTGGGCCCTATTTCAGGAAGCCGGTTTAGTGCAAACTCTGAGTAAGTATACCCTGAGTTAACGAAAACTCTGGGTTTTCGGTTTCACAAAGCGAGTTTAGATTAATTCTGAGTGAGTTACTATGACGACACA